TAACACGTGCCCCACAGGCCCCGTCACCACACGGACACCCTAATGCACCCCCAGGCCCCGTCACCACACGGACACCCTAACACGTGCCCCACAGGTCCTCACTGTCACACGGACACCCTAACACACGCCCCAGGCCCTATCACCACAAGGACACCATAACACGCACCCCCCAGGTCCTCACTGTCACACGGACACCCTAACACGCGCCCCCAGGCCCCGTCACATGAACGCCCCTACCCTAAATGCTCTCACTCTGTAGCACTTTGAACAAGGGGTCAGCACCCACACATAGAGGAACCAGGACGGGCATCACGGGCACCGCCAGGTCAAGCCTCCTGAGGAAGGAAAGATTTGCAGCTCTGAGTCTGTATATTAGTCACCACAACAGGTGGTAACAATTCCTTGTGAGGTGTGTCCACGAGGGGCCCCAGGGATTGTGTCCCTCCCCAGTGCCGTAACATGGACAGGAAGCAGCTGGGCCAGGGCCACATGTCCCACGTGGTGATCCAGGGGTCAAGCCCCCACGTGTGCCCGGTGGTAAAGCCCAGATCTAAAGAGAAGACGCCCATGGAAAGAAGTGTGCTTCCTGGTGAGTGAGCGACAGGGCAACATCTTCCAGAACGTCTGCACTTGGCCTTCCAATAAACCAAGGTTGACCTTCAGGAGAATGCTCCTCTTACTCCATTCTGCTCCAGTCCATGGACGTAGCAGCTTCTCTAGAACTTCTAGAACATTCTTTCCTTGGTGTTCTCTGTCCCCAGGAATTATGCCCATCTGAATGCGTTTCATCCTGTTTTGTGGCAAATCAATTGGCATAATTTTTCCAAAAGTATGAGCTCACTTCCTGTTTCTGCCATATTTTGGTGATTCTTGCAATATTTCAAGTCTTTCCCAAATCCTTCTGCATAAACCATGCACAAGCATTGCTTAAAATCAAGAAAGGTGTGTGTCAGGGTTGTATCCTCTTTTCTTACCTATCCAATCTGTATGCTGAACGAATAATTTGAGAATCTGGACTCTATGAAGAAGAATGTGGCATCAAGATCAGAGGAAGACTCAAGAACAATCTACATCATGCAGATGATACAACCTCGCTGGCAGAAACTGAGGAGGACTTGAAACCCTTGATGCAGAAGATCAAAGGCTACAGCCTTCAATCTGCGTTACATCTCAACATTAAGAAGACAAAACCCCTCGCTACTAAGTCGATTACCAACATCATGGCAGAGAGAGAAGACTGAATGTGTCCACGGTTTCACCTTATTGGGATCCACAATCCACACCCTTGGTTCTGGCAGTCAGGGGATGAGACGTGCTGCACCGGGAAAGCGCACTGTCAGGATTTTCTCCAAGTTACTGAGGAGTGACGATGTGAAGCTGAAGACCAGGCCGTGCCAGAGAGGCCGTGGTCTTTTCAGTCACCTGCTCTGCGGCTGAAGCTGACAGCGAGTGAGGAGGACAGGTGAGTGGAAGCCCTTGAGCTGTGGTGTGGGAGAAGAGTACAGAGTCTCGCACAGACCGTCGCGGACACGGTAAATCCAGAACGCTGCGTGGAGGGACAGGTGAAGACCTTCATCTCACATAACTGGCCGTGCTGCTGGGAAAGGCTATGCCTTGGAGAAGGACATCACTTGGAAAGGTGCGGTGTCAGCAGAAGGGAGGAAGACCCTTGATGACATGGACTGCCACAGCGACTGAAGCAGTGGGCGGAAGTGTGGCAGAGCTCGGCACAGGACAGAAGATTCAGATCTACTGTTCAAAGGGTCATTACGACTTGACAGCACCTAACAACCACCAGCACCTAGTGCAAATGGTGCATGCTGTGTACTGCTGTGTGCTGCCACAGACCGAGGACATGTGCCCGGCCACTGAGGATGGACATCTGCCCCGGGTGACCGAGGATGTGTACCTGCCCTGGGCGACTGAGGATGGACATCTGCCCCGGGTGACCGAGGATGTGTGCCCGGCCACTGAGGACGGACGTCTGCCCCGGGTGACCGAGGA